ACTCAGTTTTCAAAAAGTAGACATTTCTGGCAATTGTTTTGTGGTCAAAGCTGATATGATTATGCTGCACTCATTTCATCACAAGTATCAGAAATAATACATTTTAATAGATTTGTCCAGTAGTTAAAGTAAACATTAATCTTTATGTCATCAGAAAACATTGCATATGCACTGTAATGTCAGTCTCCACCCTTTAGTGTTTGCAAACTGGTAGACAGATGGAAATACCTTGCTATGATTACAAATCAGAAGACTTAGCAGCTTAAGCAGTTAACAGACAACACCCAGGTGAGTTTTTTTTTAAAGAAAATAAGAAAAAAAAAACATCAATCAAAGAACAGCAAGCCACAAATGGAGAAAAGTTGGAACACTGATTAACCTTCTACTCCAACCTTCTGCAAAGAAGAGTGGGCCATCCCCCAGAGATGTTAAAGGTTCATTGCCTGCTATCACATCTGGACAGGATCATGCTAATCATTGACATGAAACATGAACATGAACACACAGATGACACGACAAAAAACAGAAGAGACTAAGGATATAAATACACAGAAGGGTAATCACCTGGGGAGAAACATCTGACACAAATGACCATGGACGCCACAGGGGGTAAGAAAAACTAAGCACATTAACCATAGAAACAAGATTTTGAAAATGAAAAAGGAAGTATCGACAGACGTGAACTGGGACATGAAAGCTTGACAAAAGAGACAGAGGGAGCGAGAGAGGGAGGAGGACTCAGAGAAGAGAGACACAAGGGGACCTACATAGACGAGGAAGCATAGAAAAAACATAAATCAGACCAACCTAAGAAAGACAAACTAATAATGATACTAGAACTTTGATACTAGAACTAGAACATTGTCTCATAAGTAATACAAAATAGAAAATAACTCAACTATACCCTTACTTAAGAATACCACATGACTTTAAGATAATATTAACATAAGAAATCAACAATACAAAATAACACAAAACGCTGGGTCACAGACCCACCCCTGAACGGTGGTAAAATATAATACCTGATTATTTTCTACATATATAGATAGATACAACGTGGTGACCATTACCCCTACATTTTAAAGGGTAGACAATTATACTTAAAGGAACATACACAAACAACAGTTAGTTTTGTATGTGACTCATACCTGATCAATCTCACATCACTGTGTTGCAGCAAAAAGATTAATCAGGTGTGTCCCTGATTGTTGCCCAATTGTGTTTACCCTTGTTAAGATGAAAATGTTTTTCTACGAATTACAATTTCCCAACAGTTACGCAAAAGAGACTAAATCATCTCTTGCAACTGTGTATAAAAAGCTCTGCTGTCAGTACAACATTACCACAATCATCCACATCTCTGAGACAGTCTGCTGAAGTTGTGAAGACCTGACGGTAACATTTCTCATCAATCTCTTATTGCTTCTGTGTTTTCAGTATAATGTTGGTTGAATGGTGATATTGCAGATGATTTTGACCACATCTCATCAGAATTATTGTCAACAGGTGAAATCACTGAAACCATGATCAAGGTTGTGTTTCTGCTTGGATGCCTGCTGAGCCTTGCTCTGGCAAATCCTGTAAGTGTAATATGACTGTAGACTGTGCTAGTGATGTTATCTGTAATATATGAATATATCTTGCACTGTGTGTGTAACTGTGTAACCAGAGACTGTATCAGTGCTCCTATCTTGTCATATCCAAACAATACATTTGCATGTTTGTTTTTAAACAGAATGACTCAGCACACGAGCGCGATGCACGTTCTTCATCTAGGGAGCGGGTGAGTCTCATGTTTGTCTTTCTAGGTTTGAACATTAGACACACTTGACTCTCTGATATTTACATATCTCTAAGAAGTTATTCACCAGAGAATGCATTATCACATGTAATAATATATATTATTGATTCTCTTGCAGACTACTGGGCCTTCCCTAAATCGTCTTACCCTGCTACTACCTTTTCTACAGAATCCAACACTTCTGCAGAATTCAACGCTCCTTGCTTTGCTTCTTGCTGCTATACGATAAGCTGCTCCTTAACCAACAGCTATTACTGCCACAAAGATGAAAACGACAACAATGAATAAAAACCTATGTTGAATTGCACTGGGAGTTTTTTGTATTTATTTACGGTTGAAAATCAGTGCTTATTTCTTGAGTGACTCTGTCTTAAAAAAAGTTTAAAAAAAACAAGAACAGATTATTCTAGTCAATATAAACGACATCTCCTTGTTCATGCAGTTTCTCCCAAATCACACACTTTTGTCTGATCATTACCCAATAAAGGAACCACTGATGCGAGTTTCCAAACAATTTGCGTACCAATCAGGGAGACCACCTGGAGCCAAGTGTCGTTCCACCCACTTGACCTCCGTCAGACTCTCAGCCAGGTTCCCCATAGCACTCCTTTTATTGTGGTTACATGAATATGCATAGGTTCATTAACATATGACGTTTCATACACACAAAGAGTAACGTGCATTGTGTGTGTGTGCCAGGAGTCTAGTGGTCCATCTAAACAAAAGGCTCTTACACTCAAACAGATATACGTGTGTTTGCTATACCATATATCAGCAAGAGAAGATACGACCTCTCCTAGGAGGTGTGTGATCTACGCCAGAACACTCTGTAGAGGAGTGAACACACCCCCCTCTTCATGCTACACAGAGTTGTTACAGACCTCCTAGGATGACACATTCTTTCAACAAATGATTATATACTTCTAAGCATATGAGTAAATATTTCTAAGCATAAATGATAATGAACAATACAAATCTAACAGTGCACCTTAAAGCTGATACAGTGGTCCCTCATTTATCATGGGAGTTACGTTCTAAAAAATAACCTACGATAGCTGAAATCCCTGAAGTAGCCAACTGTATTCTCTCTTCTTTTTTTTTTTTTTTACAATTATTATAGATGTTTTAAGGCTGTAAAACCCTTCACTACACACAAACCCTTCACTTTTCTCAGACAAGCACTTTTCTCAGACTTTTCTCTCTTGTTTAAACACTCAAAGTTCAAATCTTTGTAGAAAAACAAGTCTAGTATTCCAGAATGAAATCAAGGCTAAAACACTGTTTTCAGGTCTAGAACATGGGAACAGAGCAGTTGCAAGAGAATTCAACATTAATGCATCAATGGTACAGAAGTAGAGGAAGCAAGAAGAATGAGTTGTGTAACGTTTGACTTTTCGGACTGTTTTGTTTCGCTTAATGCGCCTTATAATCTGGAAAATATGGTAATTTCTACTTTCCGTTAGCATGTCCAGAAGTCCAACTTTTTCTGCGATTGTTAGCAGCCTCCTCTGCCTTTTGTGTGCTACCGCAGGTGCCTTTGACAGTGCAAAACGTTTCATCAACATTGTTGTGTTTGTTGGGGAGAAAACTTACAAACATGCAGTGCAGCACTTCAGAGTCACACTGCTAGCGATCGAAGATGTTTGTAAATTTTTCAAGCTGAACGCACTCTGTACTGTACAAGAAACCCGGCACAAGATTGGACGCAGAACACAATGCGCTGTGCAAACAAAAACAAAAACAAACTATGCAAAATTGCACCAAAAAACATTTGCGAAACAGCGAGGCCGTGAAAGGTGAACCACATTATAGCAAGGGACCGCTGTAACTCGTATGCTGCAGAAGAAATTGCACCTTACCAATTTAGAAGATCATCGTTTAGCCTGGAAAGTCAGTTTGCATCTGTATAAAAAAAGGCTATATAATAATACTAGAGAACATCTTACTATTCATCACTGATTGATGGAAATAAGAACAACACTAGGTTTCTCTATAACACTCTAGCCAGACTGAGAAAACCCGGGGCTCTGTTGAGCCAACAGTCGTTTAACGTCAACTAGTGATGACTTTGTGAATTTCTTCACGTGTAAAATTTTAAACATTGAAGAAAAAAATTGCCCATAATCATCTCACAGATGTAACATTATGTACAGCTACTTTCAGTAGGAAAAATGACAAAAGCTTTGTCCAAAAATTTTTGTGTCATGGCTGTGTGAAGGCAGGCAGGAAAGGTGGACCAAAAAGCAGGACTCACAGAGGCACAGGTGAACTCAAAACCCTCAGCTTTATTGTGGGAATGCAGACTGAACAAAGAACTAACTAGACTGGAATGCAAATAAACTAGCAGGCAGGCAAACAGAACACACAGGGTGGTAAGAGGGTGAACAGACGTTAACGATGCCACACTGACACAAAGACACACTGGGCTTAAACACACTGAAGGAGTCACCAAGGAATTAAAGACAGAAGGGGAACACAGCTGGGAGGGATAAGACCTAACAAAACAGGGGGAATAAAGCTAGAAACACTGACAAAGACAGGAACATGAACCTTCAAAGTAAAACAGGAAACAAGACCCACTTTACAAGGACACGGACTCGACAAAGTAAGACAGACTAGACGCTGAATTAAACCGGCAATAATAACAAAATACAACCCGAACCTTAGTCATAATGCAAAAACATACCAGAATAACTGAAACACAGATTCATAATTCAAAAATAAACCAAAGCATAAGGAACTCAAAATGCTGGGTCGATCCGACCCAGGACCGTGACATTATGGGCCAAACTGTACAATAAAAAGGTGTTTGTGAAAAACCCAAAACAAATTTTGTGTCTGCCTGATTTTCACTGATGAACTTTATTTTGCAGCTACCAAACACAACAGTGAGCAGAAAGACTAAAGAAAAAGTCAAGATTCGGTTTAGAAAAGAGAAAAACTAAAGCAAAACAAGCAACATTATGTGCTTTAAGGTGCCAATTTGAGAGGTATACCAGGGAATCAGGTACTGATTGAAGCCTTTCTTTTTCAGAAGAGCTACAGTATCCAGAGTTGTACGTAGTGAAGAAGTAGCGTTCAGCTAGCTACACTGCACTGTTGGCACAACAACATTTTTAATCTTATTTTAAGACAGAGTCACTCAAAAATAAGCACTGATTTTCAATAATCCTGTAAATAAATGACAAAAGAACCCCAGTGCAATTCAACATAGGTTTTTATTCATTGTTGGTTTGTGGCAGTAATAGCTGTTGGTTAAGGAGCAGCTTATCGTATAGCAGCAAGAAGCAAAGCAAGGAGCGTTGAATTCTGCAGAAGTGTTGGATTCTGTAGAAAAGGTAGTAGCAGGGTAAGACGATTTAGGGAAGGCCCAGTAGTCTGCAAGAGAATCAATAATATATATTATTACATGTGATAATGCATTCTCTGGTGAATAACTTCTTAGAGATATGTAAATCAGGAGCAAGTTCTTGTCAATAAACAACTGTACCGCTCCTAGTGAGACACTAGCCCAAAAGCTGTTATCTTTATGGAGAACGCAAAATTCGGACCCTCAGAGTATAACTCTCTGGTTTAAAACTGGCATGTAATATTTGTATAATGTCTGAGTATGAAAACGATGAAAAGGAATGTTGTATGACTTAATCTGTCTTTAACCTGAACACTAGAAAGCGGATTTAACGTGAAATAAAAAAACTCAGTGCATATAGGTTATAGTTTGTAATCTTGTGGATATGCTGTTTAAGAGCAGTTTCTATGCAGGAAGAGCAAGCGTGTCTAGATGTATCGTAGAAGTCAGTAGCGATTAGGAGGCAAGTCTGCAAAATCAATATATATTTATTACATGTGATAATGCATTCTCTGGTGAATAACTTCTTAGAGATATGTAAATATCAGAGAGTCAAGTGTGTCTAATGTTCAAACCTAGAAAGACAAACATGAGACTCACCCGCTCCCTAGATGAAGAACGTGCATCGCGCTCGTGTGCTGAGTCATTCTGTTTAAAACAAACAGATGTATTGATACAAGTAGACACTGATCAGTTTGGTTACACAGTTACACACACAGTGCAAGATATATTCATATATTACAGATAACATCACTAGCACAGTCTACAGTCATATTACACTTACAGGATTTGCACGACCTCGTATTGACTGCCAGATACGCAGGTACTCAAATAGAGTATCTTAAAGACCTTGCAATATATCATATACAATACTCACAGCACAGAGTTACAGTCAGAGCAAGGCTCACAGCATCAGACCACTTGATCATGGTTTCAGTGATTTCACCTGTTGACAATAATTCTGATGAGATGTGGTCAAAATCATCTGCAATATCACCATTCAACCAACATTATCTGAAAACACAGAAGCAATAAGAGATTGATGAGAAATGTTACCGTCAGGTCTTCACAACTTCAGCAGACTGTCTCAGAGATGTGGATGATTGTGGTAATGTTGTACTGACAGCAGAGCTTTTTATACACAGTTGCAAGAGATGATTTAATCTCATTTGCGTAACTGTTGGGAAACTGTAACTCTTAGAAAACATGTCTCATCTTAACAAGGGTAAACACAATTGGGCAACAATCAGGGACACACCTGATTAATCTTTTTGCTGCAACACAGTGATGTGAGATTGATCAGGTATGAGTCACGTACAAAACTAAACGTTGTTTGTGTATGTTCCTTTAAGTATAATTGTCTACCTTTAAAATGTAGGGGTAATGGTTCACCAGGTCCTTATCTATCTATATATCTATCTTCTTGCTTTTTAGAAAATGTAAAGCAACTAGAAAATAATCAGGTGTTGTATATTACCACCGTTCAGGGGTGGGTGTGTGACCCAGCATTTTGTGTTATTTTATATTGTTGAGTTTTCTTTTATTCTGTTAAGTTCTATTATTATTATTCAAAATGGTTAAAATCACACACAGGTGTATCACGTCAGGTGCACAGGATCAGTACATTGTTACCCAGCATTATAAAGGAGACTTGTCCTATTGCAACCTCAGATTTAGTTTGGTATGCTCCTCACTTGTGAAGTGTTGAGGTGAGCGCCATAGTGAGATCTAATAACTGTCTGATGCCCTAAGAAAGAAGACTGTGGCCACTTATGAGTCTGGTAAGGGATTTAAAAGGATCTCAACAGAATTTGACATCAGCCGTTCCACCATCTGGAAAAGTATTTACAAGTGGAGGACATTCAAAACAACTGTCACCATGCCCAAGCAAATTCACCCCCAGAGCAGACCGCAAGGTGCTCAAAGAAGTCATCAAAAAGCCTAAAATGTCATCACTGGAACTACAGGAGGCTCTGGCTGCTGTCGATGTGAAAGCGCATGACTCTACTATCAGAAAGACACTACACAAGTTTGACTTTCATGGGAGGTGTGCAAGGAGGAAACCTTTGCTCTCTAAGAGAAACATTAAGACCAGACTGAAGTTTGCCAGGACAAACGTAGACAAACACCATGACTTCTGGAATAATGTTCTTTGGACAGATGAATCTAAAGTGGAATTATTTGGAACCAGAACAGTAGACATGTTTGGCATAAACCAAATACAGCCTTGCAAGAAAAGAACTTCATACCAACTGTGAAGCATGGAGGTGGCAGTATCATAGTTTGGGGATGCTTATCTGAGGCACCACCTGGCCAGCTCACCATCATAGAATCCATCATGAAGTCTGCTGTGTGTGAGGAGTGGGGCAAACTTTCTTCTGATC